TAATCCTCTGTGCATGCACTTAAGACCCGGCGATGTCTCTGAGCCTCCCCAGCTCAGTCACGCACACAAGCTGTGCTATAAAGTACACAAATAATCTCAGTCAGCTGGTAGCAGGAGTCAGCCACGTGCAGAACTCAGCCAGATAAAAGTTTCATGGTTTGCCTGCTCCCACTCAAACACTACCAAAATGGAAATGTTTGATCTTTAGGCTAACACATAGCTAATACCAAATCAGCCTTTAAAAAAACCAGCACACACAAACCGAACAAAGAGCAAAACCTCAGTTGTCATTATCACAGAAAATAGGTTAAAGAATAGAAGTGACATCTTTACTTCAATACATTTCTTGTGTATATTTCTTCATAAGCACAACAAAAAGTAATATTAAACTCAAAAGTAATCTACAAAATAAAAATATTTGCAAAAGCGACACTAAAACAAAAGCTGCAAATCTCAAGAAATCTTAAAAACATTGGACAAAAGATGGATTTGGGGAGTGGTGGCATTAAGTTCTAGAGACTCATGCCTACAGCAGAAATATAGCACCCAGCAGTAGACTATCAAATAACATACATGTAACAAATGTGTACTTATACCAGTTTGATACAGGAGAATATTCTCTGGAAAATTTGCCATATGTAATTTTGGCTAGTATCACAAGAATTCATGTGCTTTGGGGCTATTTAATAGTAAATATAGTGTGAGCAAGTTTGCCCTTAGAGAGGATGGGACTGCCTTCAGTTACAGAGCCCCCATTATGTGATGAGGCAAAACTCATGCCATCTTTTGGGCCAAATGCAGGGCTTTACAGAACTGCCTTATGTATTTCCAACTGTGACTACATCTGCTGCTTTGCTGGGGGCTGGGGGGGTGTTTGTTTTGGGATTTTTTTGTTGCTGTGGTTGGTTTTTGTCACGAGTTCCCCCTTGAACAAGTTATTTCTCTCTTACTATGATGTTTTTCACAGCAGAGTCACAGCTGTACTAGAATTTTGTTCCTCCAACAAAAGAAAAGTGAACCAAGTCAAAACAGGCACAACATTTTTACAAGAGTATATTCCCCTATCTGAACATGCTAATGCTATTTAATCAAAAAGACAAGTAGTGATTTTTGCCAACACCCTCAACATTCGGAGGAACATGTCAATTTAACAAAGTGCGGTCACAGAAATTTTTAGGTTCTGATTTTTCCTCCTAATATAATGTCAAAATTAGTTTTACATCTCAGAATTTTGTGCATAATGAAAACCTAAACATTCTGCAACATGGCTAGTGTCAGCAGTGCTTCTCATCAAATTTACCTGAGACTTCTCACTTGAAAAGAGTCTTTCAGGTTTCTGTATTTTTGTGAAGCAGGAGGAAGATTTCCATAATACATGTTTGTTTCAGACATAATATTAAAGAAAAGCACATCACACAATTCCATGGTTTGGTTCCTCAGGAGATTATTTTTAAATGCACTGCACTTAGAGCAGAGACCTCACATTCCACCTTGAAGATGGCTTTTGCCATTTCTTTGAAACTCTAGTCTAAACTAGATCACATTGGAAACTTGGGCCTTTTTGCAAGAGTGTGAATAACCAAACCACTTCTCAGTGTCAAGAGCTAAATTCTGAAGGTCCTGCTGCTACCGAGCACACAGGACCCCCCCCCCCAGCCCTTATTTGAATTGTTCAGCCCCAGCAAACACCCTCCCTGTGGTGTAACTCGGGGCCACATGGTTCACACACTTGCCTTCTGTGCTCATTGCTGGGCAGCACGGCACAGGACAGGGCAGAGGCAAACTCAGAAGAGACACAAGCTGAATCAGCAAGGGGGAAACAGATTCAGATGTCAGGTATCAGTGAGACAGAAAGGGAGAGGAACTGTGCCTGGCTAGTGGTGAGGGAAGACAAACTGCTTGGGCAAAGGGAAGGTCAAATAGCAAAGAGAGGACCCAGGGTAACCATTTCTGGCATGAGAACCAAGAGTGGAAGCCTGGAGATCAACAGGAAAATCGGTATTTTATTATAAAAGCAATGCATGGTAACATGCCAGTGCTGTATAAGGATTAAAATTCTATGCACGTGCAAATACTGGCATCCTGAATTCAGTTTCACAACTTAGAAGTTACCACCTTTACAATATTAATGATGTTGTTTAACACAGTGTGTTGTATGGTTTTGTCTGAGCCATGCAGGTGGGCTGCTCTGCCCACAGAGGGGTGAAGTGCAAACCTCTCCTGCTATCTTCTGCCTGTCCCTGATTAGGCAAGCATGAATTTGGTTCAACTGTAATTTCTGAGTTATGCCAAGAGGTTACACTTAGGCTGCTTTAAAAATTGGAAGAAACTTGGTGTAATAGAAAAAGATAGGTTTTGCACTATTTAAATTACTTCTCCCTGGAGATGTAACCAGAGCAGCTGGAGTGTGATAAGACTTCTTGCCAGCCTTAAAATGCTGTAGACCCACGTCTGATACACTTTTGAAATGCCAGTGCAGCACACGGATTTTTCTTCCTCTTCTATGCTGCACTAAACGAGGTGATTATGTCTGTAATGCTATAAAGCAACTGTGTCAACAGTAAAGAGGAAACATTTATGGCATAGGTTATTAAAACAATGAAAAATAGGCCAGTGCAGTTTAAGTTCCTTTAGTGGGCTGAATAATAACTAGTTAAATAAGGAACAAAGATAAATAATTTATTACAGAATCATCACAACAAGCACAAGAAAATTGCATTCACTTTAAACTGCATCTCAAGAGGCTTCAAAGCAGAAGCATGGATAATACACAATGAATGTGTCAGAGCACATGCAAAAGTAAGGGGATTTAGAGAACCTGTTGTGAAATGAAGTAATCACTCAAATCCAGGACATTGCTGTACACACACACAGCAACCAGTTACATACACAAGACACGAGATTTTATGTTAAAAGTAGTAGTGGCTCAAAGGACTGCAGGCTACTGTGGTGGCTGGGTAGATTGCCTGCTTCAGCATGCAGCCCCTACTGCTGCATGGGAAAAACAGGACTTGCTTTTACGGAGTGGTAGAAAAGCTCATTATGAAGTTATAAGACTCCTTACAAATAAGGCCTAGCTCAGACACCATCAGATTAAGAAATGTAGAGGAATATTCATCTTCAGTTACTTATTCTGGAAGAGAATAAAAGAAGAGAGCAGACAGAACTCAGTACAATCAAATGCAACTTCCACTACAAGCCTGTATTTTTCACACTCAGTCTGACAGCTCAGTTCAAACAGTTCAAGTTGTTTGTAACAACAAAGCAAATATTTCCAAAGATTAAAAACCAAAAGTTAGGCTTGTATTTCCATTTTTGGCCTTTTAATTAGGCTTATCTGAAGTGCTGAAAACAGAACAACTCTAATTGATGGCTTTCATACTTTGCTTTTTAATAATAGCTCTTAACTGCTTGGCAGTTTGGAGGTTTCAAATAAGACTGGGAATTGATCAGAAGAGGATTTTCGGCTTGATTTTACTCCACCAGAAATGAGACAATCTAAACCTTCCCCACACAATTTGATCTCACGAGATTCCCACCTTGATCATGGCTCTGATAAGAATATTGAAATCTCACCATTTTTTTTGAACCAGACTCAATTAATGTTTCACACTAACTCAATATATGACCTTGGATAAAGAAATCAACCAATTTTCCAGCAGCTCCAGCTTAACTTTAAAAAAAAAAAAATACAAATGCACACACACAAACTCCATACACTATAGAACAACTTCCATGGCTGCAGTACAGAGACCAGAACAAGTTATTTGGCCTTTCAATTTGTAACTGAGATCATAAGCATATTTTACATAACAGTTTCTTCAGGATAAAGAATTTGTGCATTGTATGTAAAGCAGTGAGACCAACACTGAAAGCAAAGGAGGCACTGGTGTGATTAGGTCTAAGAGCCAGTGTTTCTCCCTCAATATTTCTACAATATTGCAGCAGAACTTGAATCGCTACTCAGTGTTACGTTTGTTCCTCTCTTCTTTAAGGAAGCAGGGAGAAAGAGTGGGGAAGATGGCACAAGCAAGGAAGCAAGAGAAAGGAGCAGGGCAGAGAAAGTGGGACAACAAATCAATAAAGCAAATTTTTCCTAGCAGCAAAAATAGCTGACAGATCTGCTTGCCAAAGAACACTGAAAATTACTTTGCGAGTAAAAGTAGCAGAGAAGATAAGTCGGCTTGAGGGACTCGCGGGAGAGCTGGTATTGACAGATACACAGATGATGTAATTGCTCGAGATGAACGGGTTTTTCTTTTATCTCAGAAAAGCACTTCTGGATGAAAAGACTAGAAAGACAGGTGTGAGACAATAGCACAAAGCCTCTTTCTTACTTAATTTTATATAAAGAAGCATTGATGTATCAAGTGTAAAACAAATGTGTTGAATGCTGAAAGTAAAGTATTACAGAGAACAGCTTATGAACACTCCCAGCAATAAAGAAACTTAATATTTGATGAAATACACTTTGTCTATTGAAGAAATGCACTGACTTTACAAAAGATCGAGTATATGTAAGAAAATGTTCCCTACTGTTCTTACATAAATTGGCTGATAGAGTGGCATCTTAAATTGTCCTGTTTACTCTTCTAGTCTACTGTTTGTTTAAAGTGTGATCTCTTATGCAATTTTAACAGGAAACAATCTAGTACACTCTTCCTCTCTTCCAGCTCCTGCTGCATCTGTGTATCCCATGACATATTCCCTTCAGCCATTCTGGTACCCTTTCAAAACAGGTTTTGAGCATCAAATCGTTTGGGGTTTGTTCTGGGGTTTCTTTTTTGGTTTGGGTTTTTTTGCTATTCCTGAGGAATATTAGATAAGAACTGGTGACAGGTGAATGTATGCAGTAGTGGGCAGGTAAAGAGAGAGTCTTTTCTATATTTCCATTTAGTTAGATGATTTCTGTGTGCTTTAAAATGAAATTTCTTCATGTAATAGAGCAGCATGTTGATATCAGTGACCCTACAGGAAATATTCTTTAACAAACCTCACAGATACCTAAAACCTATCTTAACCCACGCTGGTCCACCCCTCACAACAACATTACCTGAATGGTGCAACCCTGTTGCCAGGATTCTGACCAGCCCCACTGCATATGGGGTAAGTACCCACTTGGTTAATTGTCCTCAGGATGTTATCCAAAACCTGCCACTTTTGATCAAACACTTTGGTATAGTCCCTTTTCTAAAAACTTCATACTTTTAGTGTAAGAATTATACAATTTCTTCAGAGTTGTGAAGAAGGGGTCTCGGAAGGTACAGTGCTACATTTCCATTACTGGTCACTAAATACTGTGAGTTTCAAATATGAGTGATATATTCTAAATAATTCAGCCAGATGCTGAAAGTATTGGCTACCCATCAACGATATTCAAGCATTAAAATTATCTAAAATATCTGAAGGGCAGGTTATGTTTCTCAACACTGCTCAAGTGCAGAACATGATAGGCAACTATTTGCTTTAATCAACAATAAGATGGTAAATGAACACCTGAAAAAAAAAGCAAATAATGAAACAAAATGGAAGCAAAATTGCACTAGACTTGTTCTTCATTTAAGCTTTAACAAAAATCCTCCTCAAGAGTCTCTCTTCCACAGATTTTTTTCTTTGTTTGAATACAGGATCCACTCAAGGATGGTGACACAGATTATATCATAAATAATGATGAATTGACCGAAAACTATGAATCGTCTGCTCACATACCAGTGCCAGCACGGGACAGGACAGGCTCCACCCAGGCTACAGGCAAGGAAGATATTCAAGAAGGAGATCTGGGATTAGGAGGGTACAAACTCCAGCTTCAACCCCAGATAAATTCCCTGGCATGAACAGGGAAACGTTAATGACAAGAAAGAAGACTAAAACAAAGAAGCAAAAGATCCTATTATGTGAACAAGAGGCCAGAAAAATGTACTAAGCACAAAAATCAAAGACAACTCAGATTTCACCAAATAAATGCCTGCTCCTCCCATAAAAGTAGTTTACTATCATCAATGTAGTTTACATTTACAACAATGTGCAGGTTTTCTGACTTCAGCAGATGTAGGACAGTATCAGCCCGCTGTAAATACAGTACGGTCATGTGTTGACTGTACCTCTCCCCTCACATGTACCCAGGCCTTTGAATGTTGCTTAGAGTCTTCAGCAAGTTGGAATGGAGAGAAATAGCTTCCTGCTCACATGATGACAGCTCTTCTATACAGCTGGTCCTGAAAAGATCCACAGTTAGCTACTACTCCAGTAGTACTTCAGCCTTGATAGATAAATCTCCCTCATGCTCACAATACAGACTTTTCCTGACAACCAGCCAAATGTCTTCTAAATGCACATATAGCCTAGTCCATACAGGGTTTCACCATGCAGCCTCCAACTGAATATCGACAGTAGGAGGCATTGAAGTCCATAAAATCAGCAACAAACACCCTTTTAGGGCAGCACTGAATGGGCATGACCACTATTTAAACAGCAGTTATTCCTCAAAGCACTTGTAGTTAGGGCCTGGCAACACACAAAGCTTACATGGTGGGAAAAGTTTTGTTGTTTTCAAAGATCATTCTAAACATATGTTTTGATTTAACTGTTTCTGTTGTTATTGTTCAAAGGTAGTTGTTTCTAATCATATATTTCTGCAAAACAGCTATTTCTTAAGACTGTCTGCTCCAAGGACAAACTTGTCTCTCTCTAGTTAAGCTGGGCACTCAATATCACACTAGCAATGAGGAGAGTGGTGGTTAGATATTAAAAAAAATTCCCAAGAGGAGAGTTTATGTATCAAAGTATTAATTCTGCATAAACACAGTAACTGGATGAACAGCTGGTCAGCCATACATACAGCTAAGCTGCCATATACTGCTATCAAGCATTAGTACAGATCAGCTTTGGCACACATCAGCTAAGCAATGCAAAACCAGGGATAGAGCCAGGCTTTCGTTAGAGCACGTGCCTTTTCCCACCACAGAAGTTTCAACTAACTATGCATGATGATATTCGTACTAAGTCAAAGCATCAGGAGTTGTCAAGTAAGATGCTTCTTAGCATACAAAGACAATGGGCAAGCAAGAAATTTGAGATCTAAAAGAATAAAAATCAAGCCATCTCCATTAATAGTCCTAAAGCTGAATATGTCTTGATTTCATCACAGATAGAACCTGAAATACAAATGCAAATATAATCAAGTTTTAGTTATCCTTTTCCAGGCTAATTAATTTCTGGTTAAAAGTGACTATTAAACAGCCATTTTAAGCATAAATTTGAACACTGAAGCTCTACGTGCTGTTATGAAAGATCAGAAGCTTAAACTGGCATTTTATTTTCCCCTAAACACTAATCAAGGAGCTTCAAAGGATCTTAATCCCAACGTGGTTTAAAACAAATAATATTCAGGCATGATAACAAGTTCTTAGAAGAACTAATGAATTTCCAACTCCATGCTTTGCTTTGTTTAGCTGCATGAGGTGGGGAAAGATGCACAGCAGGTTGCAAGCAGGGATGGAGAATGGATAAGGAGGTAAGGTTTTATGGGCAAGTACTGTGCACTGCAGAGCATGCCCTGGGAGACAAAAGAGAACACAGGCAGCATAGGCAGGCAGAGACACACTGCAGTGAGGTGAATATGTGGCAACACAGAGAGAAGGTATTCTCGTAGATGGGCGCTAACACAGGCCTGACTTCAGCAGCCAGACTTTCTGATTTCAATCTTCAGAAGTATTGAGTGCAAGTCAGGCGGCTTCTTAAGCTTCTTGGGAAGCATGGATCCCAGTCTTTACATTATAGTGGAAATCAATAAACTGCTGTAGTATTATGAAGATGCAAAGCTGTATTTCACAATTGCTACACGAACTGGAAATGACAAGCTCTTCACCAACAGTTCTGCTCTTATACTCTACTCTGAAATGCACCCTCCAGCATATTGTATGGGGTTTTTACTGATTTATTTATTGTGCCTATGCCCAGATTTCTCACATTTGTGCAATGTGATAAGTGGAGAGCTCTGGGGTCTGAAATTCTCTGTTTGTAAAAAAAGTCTGTAGCAAATACTTTTCACACTGTTCTACCCAGATGCCTTAAAGGGCTACTTTACTTGGTAAAGAAAGTCATCCCTTCTGACAGAGAAGTCATACTTCCCATCTTCACAGGTCAGATTTTTATGCTAAGACTATCAAGAGGCTGAATCAATGGTCCCAACAGGATGGGTACCATGCTCAACAACTGAAGTATCACTGGCTTTTAGGAAAACTACTAATACGAGCTACAAGCAAACCTGAAGCTTCTACTAAATAGCAATAAGAGTCTCAATTGTCCATTATGCTGTTCAGCCTTCCTATTTCCTAATTTTAAGGTATTCTTTTCATGACATGCAGATCAAGAGAGTTAAAACAACATTAGAACAGATGATATATTTGCATTCAAGAAGAAATTACAACTAGTAATTCTGCATGACTTTAAACAGAAATGGATGTTAAGAGAGGCCTTTAATGTTAATTTACAGTTCATACACGGGAGATTTAAACTACTCAATATCACATAGTGTTTGACTGAATGTGCAAGTCACTCGTGATAAATGTGAAGCTACTCTTCATATCTGAGTTAATCTAATAAAACAGTGCTTGGAAAATGAAATGTAATATATACTGTCAAAATGTAGTGACTACATACTGAGTATGAGGCCAAAATTATAGGAAAGGTGGATATCTGCAATATTACTAAACCTTTCAGGTTTCAGAAGCAATAACTGAAATATTATATTGAACTGTGGACAGCATTGGCTAAGGTTGAAAGCAGTGGAATGAATTCTGGACATACAACACAGCCAGACCAGAAAGACACTGTACTAAAAATATCAGATCACTATGATAGCTTTCACAGAGAAGTGCAACATTTGGTAACCCCACTGAAAGCAGGGGCCAGTGAAACTAAACATCTATGTAGCTGTATTAAAAGCTCAAACTTGTCCATAGTACCACATCAGGGTTATCTCCAAACCAATCAACGCTGTGCATAATTTAAGCCACTAAACTCATTGTATTGAAGCCCTTAGAGCAGGTCACACCCTTTCCACCTACAACTCATTGAAGTACCTTGCTGACCCAGGACAGTCTGTTCAGTGGGTCTTTGTTTCCCTTTCAAAGCTGGTCTGTATTTTGCTATCAGCCAGCAAGTAACGCTGAGCTCGGTGGCAGCCCGAGTGCTGTGTACATTTGGGTACAACACGAATGCAGCAATACACAGACGTCTATTTTAGATGCACATAAACATTACATGTGTGCTTTCAAAATTCTTTCTTCTCAGAGACTGAGAAATCTTAGGATATAAACATTAACCATGAACTTCAGAGAACAATGATACCCTGAATATTCACTTTACAGGTCAGAAAATACTACTTCTAAAGACAAAATTGTTTTCCCCCTATTCCTTCTAGCAAAATGGAAAATAACCCTTTTCTACATCTTAAAGTAAACCAGTTCTGAGCATTTTAAACAACTTAACACAAGAAAGATCATCTCTAGCAATATAGCCCCAACAGACAAATTCTGGTCAGTGAACTATAAATGACTTGTCAAAGCTTTATAAAATAAAGTCTTTCAGAACTTGACAATTCTCCAGTTGATCCAAATTTTCTAAGCAAGTATTAGTTTATCCCACAGTCTTGGTCCCACTATCAGTCAATTTTCAGATCATGAAATCCCCTGCTTCCTTCAGCTCAACAATTAGTTTTTGTGGTAGATATTACTGTTCAGGAGAGTTAGACAAAACAGCTGAACATATCTTCTTGAATACTGGTTTGCTGGTGTTTGGGGGTTTTTGTTCTTGTTAACACACACATTTTTTACACCATAATCACATAGTCAAGTGCACAGTTCCAAACAGTACAACAGAAAACTTTGCTAATGCAGTACTTCTCTCTTTATTCATCCCTTTCAAGCAATTAAAAGAATAAGACAACCTAGTGCAAGCATGGGCATCAGCCAAGCCAAGATCCCCTTCAACAGCCTTGTGGTGCAAGTCACACTTCCAGTTTTAAAACTCCCAACTGAACATCCTGGCATGTGTTTAAAAATGCAGACAAATTCCTCAAAAAGCAAAACAATGTCAGTCAGCTCTGTGGTGCCCACCTATGGCCCAGGTTTGTCTTTCCTCTGTGAAAGGTACAGGGACTTTCCTACAGTTACCCCAAGGTAACCAGGTCTCCAACTTTGGCTCCACTCCTAACAGCTCCTTGGTACCACCAGCATGGGCCCGCTGCAGCTGCATTACTTTCATGGAATTCCACAGCAAAAACCCACAGCCTTCATGTTTCCAATTAGCAAATTGGAATTCCAACCCTTTCAGCTTTCCCACTGTAAACAACCACACTGGCTTCCTCCCACACCAGCCCACCCTGGCTCTGGGCAGAGGAGGCAGCGAGTGCTGCACCACATGTGTAATAAGAATTATTCTGCTCACAAATAATTTTCACCAGTGTCAGAGCAGAGGCCACATTTTCCCCAACTAATTCAGTGTTACTGGTCAACATTATTCCCCTACAAAAATCATATCTGAGGTATGGAAGAACAAATATTGTTTCAGGTCTCAGAGGATCCCAAATCTGAGCATGTCAAATTAACACCATCCTTCTGAGAAACCAGCAGGGCTTGAAATTCTGCTGCAGGAAGCAGCAGAGAATATCCAGGAGTGTTTTCCAGCTACTGTTCTATATCATTGTTTACCACATGCTGCCTGTTTCTGGTATGCTACAGCAAAGGCACATGGACAAATAAAATACTGGTACTTTTTTTATTAAGAACTTGAAACTAGAGAGAGTCATATACATAACAATCTAAACACTGAAAGAAATAACCTTATGCCGTGGAATTGGGCATTACATAAGCCTAGGACATAAGTGAGTTGAAATAGGGTAATATCCCATAAGCATAATGAGATTTCTTATTCCAGAGGTACAGGACCTTTGGAACGCACGCCTGACTGGAAATGAAAATATAAAAGAGAAAGGGACATGAATAAATGAATGATGAAGGAAGGAAAGGGGGAGCAAGGGCAGGAAGAATCAGTGCCAAAGATATTCAAATTGAAAAAGTTGACAAAGATATTCATTGCAATTGCAGGCTAAACTCCAAATTAGGTGTTTGACAGCAGTGTGAGAAACTAAGGGTTAGCTTGAAGAACACTCCTAAAAACTTTGCTGAGCTGTAGATAGTCCTGACACTACAACTGCACTGCAAAATCTTAGGCATTCCACAGGCCTAAAAGGTAGCTGCCAGCTGAAGGATGACCAAATTTAAAGAAAATGAGGAAAAAGAACCCAAGGTGAAAGGCTAATCCTTCAATAGCACTGTTGGCAAAGCAATAAAAGCAACACAAGTTTGATATTTGCAGAAGTGTGGAAAAACAACTGAAGATATAACTTCTTCAGTCTTCCTTATTTCATCTCTCCCTCGTTCACCAGCTGTTCATTTTCTTCACTAAGTTGTCTCTTTCACCATTTCTGGTTTACCTTTACTTTAAGATGAAAACTTTACTTTTCCCCCCCTTGGGCTAGCAAAATTTTATGAAGTCCTATTCTCCCTCTGCATGATATCCACACCCAACGCAGTTTTAACAGTTCTTCAAAAAGCAACTAATACAATGCAAGACTGCATGAACTATATAACTCCTTCCCCAAGTGGGGATCATGCCCAAAACCAGGGTGTCAAATGCATTGCAATATCCTTTAGGCACTTCACTATCACTACAGAGGTTCAGGAGGGCAGGGGGTGCCCCGCACCTGCGGTGGAGGTCTCTATGTAACCTTTGTTGACCTCACCAAGGCTTTCGATACCGTGAGCAGGAAAGGTCTAGGGCAGATTTTGGAATGCTTAGGTTGCCCCCCCCAAGTTTTTTAAAATTATCATCTCACTCCATGAGGATCAACACGGCCAAGTCAGTTATGGCAATGCACCCTCTGAGCCCCTTCTAATAACCAGTGGTGTGAAACAAGGTTGCGTTCTTGCACGAACCCTACTCACAGTCTTTTTCAGCATGATGCTTCAAAGGGTCACAGCAGACCTCGATGATCAGGACGGTATCTACATTTGATATCGTACTGATGGAAGCCTTTTCAACCTAAGGCAACTGAAGGCCCACACTAAGACCTTAAACCATCTTGTCTGGGAGCTGCTTTATGCTGATGATGCCGTCCTTGTTGCCCACACAGAAGCAGCTCTGCAGCGTTTAACGTCCTGCTTTGCAGATGCTGCTGAGCTCTTTGGGCTGGAAGTCAGTTTAAAGAAGACAGAAGTTCTCTATCAACCTGCACCTCAGGAAGTCTTCCATCATCCCCACATCACCACTGGCAAATCAGAGCTCAAATCAGTCCAGCAGTTTAATTACCTAGGTAACCTCATCTCCTCAGATGGTAAGATTGACAGAGAGATAGACAACAGGTTAGCAAAGGCATACAGTGCTTTTGGACAGTTTCATGAAAGAGTTTGGCGAAATAAACATCTGAAGTACCAAGATCAGTGTTTACAGAGCCATTGTGCTGTCTACTCTCTTATATGGATCTGAATCGTGGTCATCTACCGTCACCACCTGCGTCTCCTAGAACGCTTCCATCAACGCTGCCTCCGTTCAATCCTAAACATCCACTGGTCAGATTATGTGACCAATACGTCTGTTCTAGAACAAGCAGCAGTCACAAGTATAGAAGCCATGTTGTTGAGAACGCAGCTGCACTGGGCAGGACAGGTCTCCAGGATGAAGGACCACCGCCTCCCTAAGATCTTGCTTTATGGTGAATTTGCCACTGGTTGTTGCAAGAGAGGAGCCCCGAAGAGGAGATGCAAGGACTCCCTGAAACAATATCTCAGCCTTGGCCATATTGATCATCATAACTGGTCTACTTTGGCCTCCAATCAGGCGGTCTGGAGACACACCATCTATAACGCTGCTGTTTCCTTTGAGAACGCCCACAGGATCACTCTTGAGGAGAAAAGACAATGCAGAAAGAATCATGCCTTGCAGAATTTACCACCTAAGGAGTCTTTCTGCTGTGCCTTTTGCAACCGGACATGCCTATCTCGTATTGGCCTTTTTAGCCACCAACATGCTTGTAACAAACATGGGTAGAGCCCTTCCCAGAGCTTTGTTCGCAAAGCCTGGCCATGATCACTACAGAAGTTAAGAGCAAGTGTTCATGTAATTTTAACCAAAGGAACCAACAAGAGGGAAAAACCCTAAGAATGGTTCTGCAGCCTTTCTCAGGAAGGTCAACATGACATGGTTGCAGTGCCAGGGAGCAATACCATATGAGCAATCTGCATCATTTTTTCCCATAGCAAAGCTTGGGCACTCTGGCTGACACCTACTGCTGGGGAGACTCTGGCACAGAGGCAGTAGCTGCAGAGCACCAATACACACCCCAAATCCAAACCATTTCTTTTTACCCTTTGCACATATTTCCACAGCCTGGGGCAAATCCAGGGGAGAAAGCTCCCTCACTGATGGAAGAGCTCACGTTTATCTGCAACAAACCAAGCTGGTAGAGCAGGGAAGGTGGTGCTGCTCTCTTTCTGTTTGTGGTCCAGGCACGTTTTCCTCCTGGTACTCCAAGAGTACTGCTGCCACTGCTGATTAGAGAAGTGACTGGAACACCTTTTCTGATGAAAGCTAATGTGAAGTGGACACTTGAGACAAGTACTCTAGTTTCTGCTGCATGAACCGTCAGGCTACGCAAAAAAAAAAGAAAACACTGTTCTATTTCTTAACTGTTTTGTTTACTGCAAGAATCTGTCTACAAACACCAAGCCCCTGATATTTACAGGCCTGAACACCAGTAACAGAGATGTGTTATTAGCCCTCAAAACTTCCTAAATTTGGCTCAGAACAAGCACCCTCCTCCTCTGCACAAGCCCCCTATATGCTATCATCTGACAGGGTTTCACTGGAAAATTGCAATGGTCTATCCCTAACCTGAAGTTTTCAAACAGTGGAAGCGGATTTCAGTAGACATGGATGCAGATTCCCTGATTATTAGTGTAGTTCAGGTGCTCTGAGAGGGCAAACCACCTCTACCAACAACTAACTTTTAAAAAAAAAAAAAAAAAAAAAAAGAAGCTCCACACACACAAAGAACA